AAACATTGGCGACGTCACCAAAAAACCACCAAAAGCACCAGAAAACTTGTCAGAAAACTCGTCGGAAAGTTCCCGAGATGAGGAGCTAAATTTCATTCGTTATCGTTAGGGATAGGAGATGATTGTTCCTGCTCTTGTGATTATCAAGCTTTTTTGTTGTTCATCTTGTCAGGGTTATTCGATTCTTAGGGGTTAATCAATTGATCACGCCTAATCTAGTTAAACTTGTAGAATCGAAAGGGTAGGAGTTGAATGACCAAGGGGTAGGCTTGTTCGTAACTATATTGTTTACGTGTTATTTGCTTCGTCAATTTGTCGTCTATGTTTGTTCTCTGAGGATAAATCTGTAGATGTGTAAATTAGTTGAAACTTCTTAACCGAATAATTGACAGTCAGGTATTTGCATTTGGAACTAGAAGCGAATATCCCCTACCCCTGACACTTCTTCTACTTCTCTATTTGTCTTATATTATTGTTATTACTTGTTTTATGATTTTTGGTAGCCTTTAGATAATTCGGTCAAACCTCCATTGTGATTAGAATGTTTAGGATTTATTTTTTTCGATCGACACCGATTCTAAATTCCAAACTGCCTTTCTCGAGAGATTGACACGAGATCAGGATTAGTCCCTAATCGGTAATAAAACATAATTTGCTTTATGGGCAATACCAAAACTTTAGTTTGATAAAACACATAAGCACCCATGAAAATTTTCAACAGACTTATAATCAAGCTCCAGCAGGGTGGAAAAAAATTGGATTAATTGCATTTTGGTCCTTGCAAAGATTAAGGATCGCAATTCTTGGTTATGTAAGCATTGTGATAGAGTTTAGGTCTCAAAAGGGTGAACAGGTCGCCTCGGGTCCCGCGGCTGCCGTTTCAGTACGTGATGTTAAACGTGCACTTGCTGTCGGACGGTTTTTATGGCAATCGGAGCATTTCTATTAAAATATATTTCTATTAAATTATTTCGTTGAAATTTCATCATTTTTTTTTATAGTGAAAGTATGTGTGTTGCCGATCCATATGGAATATTGGCATGAATAAAATAACTAAAATTATCGTAAAGTATAATAAAAACAAGTAAATTAATTAATATTTTAGCAACTAATATAATTGAAAACAAGAAATATAAAATACCATACGAACATGATACATGTGAAATATATTGTCACTCGATTTGCTATGGTATTCGAATAATTGTCATGATTATATTATTATTATTCTTGGATTAATTTCAGCCTTATTGTGATTATTATTATTGTGGCTGTTTTATTGCTAATCGAATGGTCACACTTTGTCACCACACTGTTTTTTTGGCGCAAATGATAGTTTGCTGTTAGCGATATCATAGACCACCAATGTGTTTTGCTGCTGATAACTGCCGAAAATGTTGAAGTCCATGCCATCATTACCCAACATGGCCAAGCACACAAGCCCATTCTCCTCGTCAAACATTAAGTAATTCTTATACGGCAACTCCAAGGCAGCCCCATCGAATTGAAACACGAACTTGGGGAACTTATTAACAATTTTCCTGCTCGGGAGGTTGAAGCAGTAGTCATATGTAGCCACATATTTCCTTGGAAGTCCGATTTGGCGGGCGAGTTCCTGCCCGACGGCCTCGAAAGTGCTACTCTCGAGATACGTGAGCAGTGTCCCCGAGTCGATGACCATGCCCCCCGACCCATCGTTTTGGAAGCCGAACGCGGTGGAGTTGATGGGCACGGATACCTTATTGATGGTGATCCCCTTGAGGCTGAGGTAGTAAAGGGAGGTGAAGGGATCGCGTGGGTTCCTGATGAGGGGCGTGGTGCGCGCGCCGCGGGGCGCGTGGGCCCCACGGCCCATTAAGAGACTGCCGGTGTTGTTGGTGCCGTACGTGGGCAGACAGTGGGAGAACGCGCTCACATCGAGCTGGGAGATGAAGCTGTCTTCCCCTCGGCCCAGGCCCAAGCTCCCCGCGCCTCCACATAGTACATTTCCGACAGTGTAATATGCGCAGCCAAATTGGACTCCGAGGACCTTTTTGTCCCCGAACCAAAGGGTCTCGGTGGCCAGGTCGCCTTCAGACTCGCTGTTGTCGTCGTACGTCATGTCGAACATGCACTGGCTGCCGGGCCGCTGCTTACTGCAATCCCTGCATCTCGTATCCGGGCATTTTAACGCGGTGTACGAGGTGGAATTCGCAGGGGCGAATAAGGGAGTCGGTTGATCGGAGCACTCGACGCAGGGTGCGCATTGGGTCCACGTGAGGTCGCTGGCCGTGGCGAGGAAGGCCGGGAAAGGTACCGGCGGAGTGCCGATGGAGAGATATGCTAAATACTCGTTATGGCCACTATAGCGAATGGGGGCTTTAACGTTAATATTCGTGGCGGCTGCTTGGAGCCATTGCAGCCTCTTCCTACTTCGGTCGAGAGCCAGCCGCAGGAGCTCGGTTTGGTTGAGCTGTTTGTCGTGATCCACGTGCTTTACCATAGTGTTGAAGTTGAACTCCATTGTTTCTGTTTTAGTTTTTGTTGGGGAAGCTAATATCAATAATGAAGCTAGAATATTGAGGGCAGTTACAAGTAAAGTTGTTGTTAAGTATGTCATTGTTGGGTGATGTTAGTGATGGTTATAATTAATTATCTGGGTATGGGTATGAATATGGTATCTGGAGAAAGTGAATGAGTAAATTCGGGTGGGTGATGATACTGAACAAAAACTCTCCATATGCTGCTGTATATATAGGCAGGTGAGGTGTGAAGCTACTATTATCTTGTCATTTTTTTATTATGCAGGGATTAATTACATGTTTCCACGACTAAAAAGTACTTATATATTTACTTGTTTCCATGTTTTGTCTCCATGTTTTGTTAGGATTTGTAATCTAATGCCTCACCTTTTGAAAAATATTAAAAAATATGTCTTTATTTGTGCTCTAATGCCTCGCCTTTTTAAAAATATTAAAAAATGTGCCATAAAGACATAAATGTACAATACTCATTGTGATTAATTAAATCGTTTGATAAAAACCAATCCTAGATCTTAAAAGAAAAAATGTCTCATGTAGAGAAGCTAATGCCACTAGAGCAAAAAATATTATATTGTGTATTTTAAATGACGGCGACGATGTCGACCTCGGCCACAGCCAGGGACTCCACTCGCGGCGGTTGGAGTACGGATAAAGATCAGATAGGACTTTTGTGTTGGAGCTCCGAATTTGGTATTGGCTTTTCCTCCTTTTCTTGTAGTTCAAGATGGTTATCTGCACAAGCAGAGAATAAAATAAATTTAAATGTGTGTCCTATATTGCTAATTTTCGTTTTCTGGCTATTATTCTTCAATTCCTGCATATGATCGTGGTTAGCTATTTTTTCCCCAAGTGTTTATGGTTAGTCTGTGATTATTCGGATTGCTATCTATAATCTTTATTCTTGCGGCAGTGGTTTTGTCATTATATTTCTGAATGTTTTATGAAGTATTTATGGGTTTTGGGTTGTTGGTTATGTTCGGAAATATTTTGTTAAGTTATTTTATTGGCACATTGATGTTTGAGGTGCTGATTAGTTGGATTAATTTAGATTGTATTCAGTTGAATATCTCTTCTGATTGCTAAATACGAATTGTCTATTCTAGTATGTCGTCTATTTAGAATCATTCATAACTCAAATAAATATTATTAGAATTGTGAACTGCAAATAAATATTATTAGGATCAAACTGAGACTTGATGGCAAAATTATGGTTGAGTCTTGAGGATTATGGTAGAAATACTGTCTCTAGTGAATACTCTTATCAGGTAATTGTGATTCCTAATTGCCTATCTTAGGTTGTGTTCAAATGTCACGTGAGCATTATAGAAATCCACCATTTTTCATAGAAAACTAAGTGAAATCGAGTATTTGTTTGGTTGGTTTTTGAATNTTTTTTTTTTTGTGATTTAATTTGTTTACTGGGTTTGAGATTAAGAAATGAAAAGGGGATATATATATATATAGTGGAGTTTGTGGAATAGAAAACAAAGGAAAGGCGTGCGAAGAAGAATTTCTAAAGTCGCGGTAGAGGAGGAGATTTTGAAAATGTTGATCAAATTTGAATTAATCCATTTTTTGTTCTTTCTACAAAGTAGTTACTAATTGATCAGTAACTAGTACTGCATAAAAGAAGACATTGTGTTATTTGTGGTAAAACCGGTACTATTTTAAAAAATTCATTTTTTTTCTATGGTCGTAGGAGTTGGTACTGAAGACCTGATATCTGGTACTCGAACACCCAAAGAACGGGTGAACGGTTCGTTTAGTATATTAATTAATAATTGTACCTATATTAATTAATATTTTTTAACCAACTCCGACGAACATAAAAGAAAAAACTGAATCTCGTAAAATGGTACCAGTTTTTCAACAAAAAGTACCACTCTTTCTTTTATGTAATATCGATTATTGATGAATTGGTACCGACTTTGTAGAAAGAACAAAAAATGGATTACTTCCAATTTGTTCAAAATTTCCAATATTAGTCCCAAGCCTAGAGTAAAATAATACCGCAATTATGGTGTTATAGTACCAGATATCGGGTCTTCAGTACCAACTCCGACGAACGTAAAAGAAATTTTTTTTGTAAAATAGTGCTTGTTTTGACGCAAATAATACCACTTTTTTTTCTGCGAAGTACCAATTATTAATCAATTAGTACCAACATTTGGTCAACGAAAATGGATTGTTTAATTGTGGTCAACATTTGCAATAATTGGTACCAAACCTAGAGTAAGATAGTACCATCTTTCGCTATTTTAGTACCATATATTGGTTCTTTAGTACCACTTGTAATGAACACATAAAAACACTGAATTTCGGTCTCAAATGATGTTTATATGACCAATAATCACTCTCACATTATTTTCTATGAGATTTTAAAATGTTTTAAATTGAGTTAATCGTGAAATGGTCATAAACTCGACACAGTAACGAGAAAACACTACTAATACACTTCATTCATTGAATGACATATTTCATCTCATAGAATCATCATACATGACTGCTCCAAATTCTACCTATATGTTTCAACTTCCACTATATTTAATCCAAATCACGCGTGAATGATCCACGTGTCATTGTAGACATGAAGGATTAGAGAAATCACGATTCTTAAAATAGTACTTGTTTTAGCCAATATAGTACCGAATCTTCTTTTACGTGGTACCTGTTTTTTATCGATTAGTACCAATTTTTGGTCAATGAAAATAGATTATTTAATTGTGGTCAACATTTGCAATAATTGGTACCAGACCTAGAGTGAGATAGTACTATCTTTCGATGTTTTAGTACCAGATATTCAGTCTTTAGTACCACTTGTAATGAAGACATAAAAACACCTAATTTTGGTTTCAAATGATGTTTATATGACCCATAATCACTCTCACATTAGTTTATATGTGATTTAAAATGTTTTAAATTAAGTTTAATCGTAAAATGGTCATGAACTCCACACACTAATGAGAAATCACTAATATTACACTTCATTTCATTGAATGACACACTTCATCTCATAGAATCATCATACATGATTACTCAAAATTCTACCTATATGTTTTAACGTCCACTATATTTTATCCAAATCACGTGTGAACGATCCACATGTCATAGTAGACATGAAGGATTAGAGAAATCACGATTCTTAAAATAGTACGTACCTATTTTAACCAATATAGTACCGCATCTTCTTCTACATGGTACCAGTTTTTGATCGATTAGTACCAACTTTTGGTCAGCGAAAATGGATTATTCAATTGTGGTCAACATTTGCAATAATTGGTACTAAACCTAGAGTAAGATAGTACCAGCATTCGGTGTTTTAGTACCAGATATCGAATCTTTAGTACCAACTCCAATGAACATAATGAAGCACCGAATTTCGGTCTTAAATGATGTTTGTATGACTAATCACTACTCTCACATTATTTTCTATGAGATTTGTAACGTGTTTAATTTATTTTGATCACAAATTGATCACAGACTCAACATACACATGAAAAAGCAGTACTAATACACTTCATCTCATTAAAATGGTACCAGTCTTGGAAAAAATAGTACCGCTTCTTCTTCAACGTAGTACCTGTTTTTTCATCAATTAGTACCAACTTTTGGTCAACGAAAATGGATTATTCAATGGTGGTCAACATTTGCAGTAATTGGTACCAGACGTAGAGTAAGATAGTACCAGCTTTCGGTGTTTTAGTACCAGATATTGGGTCTTTAGTACCGCTTGTAAGGAACACATAAAAACACTAAATTTCGGTCTCGAATGATGTTTATATGCCCATAATCACTCTCACGTTAGTTTATATGAGATTTAAAATATTTTAAATTGAGTTTAATCGTAAAATGATCATGAACTAGACACACTAATGAGAAATCACTGCTAATACACTCCAGTTCATTAAATGATACACTCCATCTCATAGAATCATCATTCGTGACTACTCCAAATGCTACGTATATGTTTTAACTTCCACTATTTTTCATCCAAATCATGCGTTAACGATCCACGTGACATGGTAGACATGAAGGGTCAGAGAAATCATGATTCTTAAAATAGTACCTGTTTTAGCCAAAATAGTACCGCATTTTCTTCTACGTGGTACCTGTTTTTGATCGATTAGTACCTACTTTTGTGAACAAAAATGGATTATTTCAATTTTGGTCAACATTTACAAAAAGTAGTACCAGACATAGAGTTAGATAATACCAATTTTGTATTGTTGTAGTACCTGATACTGGGACTTCAGTACCACTTGTAATGAATACATAAAAACACCGAATTTCGGTCGCAAATAATGTTTATACGACCCATAATCACACTCACATTAGTTTATATGAGATTTAAAATGTTTTTAACTGAGTTTAATCGTAAAATAGTCATGAACTCGACACACTAATGAGAAAACATTACTAATACACTTCATTTCATTGAATGACACCCTTTATCATTTAATTATTTTAATAATTGTTATAATTATGTATTCTTTTATTTTTACATCAATATAACTTTTTTTATTTTTATTTTATTTTTGTTATATTATATCTCAAAATAATCATATTTTAACGATCTTCGATTGACATCCATAATGCATATATAAAATAAAAATAATTACATCTGTCATTATAAATAAAACTATATTTATCAAAAAAATTAATTTCAAAAATTTGAATACAACATAAATTATTTTATAACAAATATAATAAAAATATAATTCAATAATAGTATACTTATTATTCACATATATTTTTAAATATATGATAAAAATTTTACCAAATTATTTATTTAATGGAACCACATTGTATTCAAATAAAATTTTTGAATAAAAAATTTTATAATGACACTTATTTTGAAATGGAATAATGTAACTTATTATCAGTTATGTACACCGTACGCGTTGTGTACTAATTTTAAATAGACATATTTTATATAATTTTGCACAATTTAAATGGTAGTTTAGTACCCAATATCGCGTCT